AAGAATACAAACATGTTCTTGCATGAGGCCCATTGATTGTATGTCTACAGCTGATTAACCTCATTTGATAGGGCCTCCACAGCTAATTAATAMAAAAAAGGATTATAACCTTGTCAATATATGGATGATGAGCTAAACTTTGATTTGTTAGATGAGAGGCAGTCTCAACAAATACTATAAATTACTTGCTAGAGTCAGCTAAAAATATTCACAGTGAATAAACCTTCTCTGTTCCTTCTGTTTTCAGAACATCACAAAGGAATATAAACTCATTGGGATGTATTCAGACGGGATCAACGTGTTGGGCCTTATCGTGTTCTGTGTTGCTTTTGGTCTTGTCATCGGGAAGATGGGTGAGAAGGGTCGGATCCTGCTGGAGTTCTTCGACGCCCTGAATGAAGCCACCATGAAGCTGGTCCAGATCATAATGTAGTACGTACAAAACTTATCAAACAGGAAGTCAAACTTTCAGCAGACAGATTCTCTGAATGGATTTAAAGTTCCTATAAAATGATGTGGAGTTCCAGTTGTCATTATAACTTTTAAATGTTCAAATGTTAATGATGATGTCACACCCCAAAGCCCGCTCTGATTGGTTAGACCCTTTTGACTCTGGATGTTGACCCAGCTTTGCTCTATCTGACCAGCACAACCAGTAGAACTTAGCTGTATCATGAAGGTAATCATGACTCTGACATGTTCTTAGTACCWAGCAGGTCATTCTGTATCCTCGCCACACTCTCTACATCAGAAGCATGTTTCCACAACAATATGAACATGTAAGACCCCAATTAAAGTTAACCCTGACCCTGCCATGGTTCTCTCACACCATGTCAGGATTCAGCTTGTAGATTCACACACACCAACACCAGAAACAATAGTTTTCAGAAGTTGGACAGATTGGAGTCATTATAATCTTAGGGTGGTAAACAAAAACCACAAGTCAAATATGGAATAATTTTCTAATAAAAGACACAATCTAATAACAGCAGTAACTATAATAACATTTAATCTTTCCAATATACTGTATCTTTACATTTTAATTTTCTAACAGGTCTGTCTTTAAAAATAATTCTTTTAACTCTAACTTTCAGTTTCATTTGAAATTGACCATTTTTCTTTTCAAGCTGCAGTTGTGCTGGGAAATCCCTTCATATAACGTTTGGTGTCTTTTTTTAAATTTGGGAATTCCCCTTAAATATAGTATATAATATAATATAAGTGCAGTTCCACAGTTGGAATATTGTGAAAATGTTCTGCATACATGTCAAGTTGTATGGATTGTCCGYAGTTTACACAGATTTTCCAGCATTTTGCAGGTGTATGGACGTAAAGAGCAATCTCATGGATTTTTTTCATGTTTTATGAATTTTTTCTAAAACTCAGTTTTGAATTGTACAGTACCCTGAGACAACCATTGTTGTGATTTGTCGCTATAAAATAAATTTAATTGAATTCATTTACACAGAGCCTGTATGACATTAAAAAACAATAAAAAAAACATCAAATAACCATCTTCCAACCCACTCTGCAGCTAGAAATACTTTTCTCCTGTCCTCATTTCCTCCTGCTTGCTGCAGGTGCTGTCATCTCCACAGCCGACAATCCGCCTGCATTTTTTGCTAAATTTACGGATTTTTGAGGTTTTTGAGATTTATTATACAGATAAACGTACGAAGGGGTTGACATGTGGTTCTGAAACTRAACTCAGCTTTTGTTACTTTAGTCATTTTGGGCAGGGTGCAAGTCCTACGTAAGGAGAATTTAAAAACATTAACTCAATATTGAAAAATTGTTATTTGCTGTTACTGTAAAGGGTTTGTGTTAATTCTCCTTGTGCTTGCGTGGGTTTTCTCCAGGTAGTCCAGTTTCCCCCCACAGACCAAAATCATGTACAATAGGTTGTATTCAGGCCCAGGCCTTCCTCACAGAGATATGTGATCTCACTGGAATGGGCCTGGTTAAATAAAGTCAGTGGTAAAAAATTAACCAMATGTTTCTCAGTGTGATAAAGCTGCTCCCATTAACCCTTTAAAAGTTGTCCTGAAATTCCTCAAAAGCCTTTTGACATTTTTTTATTTTAAGTAATGTGTCATGTAGGGCTGTGTGGTATATACGGTAGACTGTAGAAACAGTATGAATTTGGTCTATGGGAGAAATTTACCCTCTACCGTCCTATCATCAGTTACGTCATCACACCTGTGTCAACAGGGCTGCGAGTGCAGAGACAACTGAGCAGGAGTTCGAAATATAATGAAGAAATTCTAGTGTTTTAAAACATGTATTGAGAGAAAAAATCCTCAAAATTCCCCCTGCCACTGTAGAAAAGTTACGTAGTGTCGCGGGATCATTTCCTCCTCCCTCTCCTCTCCTCTCCTCCCGCTGGATGTCACACAGAGTGAAGCTTTAACAACTGTAGTTTTTCACACCCAATTGTTGGAGGAAAAAAAGTATTTTTATGTATTGTTACCCACAGAGATTATTAAAAAAAGATGTGGACGTTCATTCAGTCGTAAATCCATCTTGCTAATGTAAAGTCGGCTTCTGCTCTGATGATGAAGATGATGAAGATGAGCGCGCAGCAGAGCAGCAG